ACGGAATGGCATATTGAGAATAATAGCAAAAGTTACATAGTGCCTGATATGTGCCAGGCTTTAAGTGTTTTGTGCATATTGATTTAGTTGATCCACAATAACCCTGTGAGGGGTGGGTACTATTATTATCCCCATTCAGGTGTAAACAGGCACCATGGGGCCAGCAAGGTCTGATTTTGATTCCTAGCTCCACCTTTGAGTGATTTAAGGCAAATTAGTTAACAAGCTTTTGTTTTTCTTTGAGATGGCAATAACCCTTAACTTCATAGGATTATTGTGGAAAATAAATTAAGGATCCAGAGTTAGATACTTGGCATATAATAGGCCTTCAGTAAATTTAGCCTACATTCCTATTTCAATGAATTGACTACTAGAAAGAAAGTCACTAATTTTTATTAAATACTTGAGTACTGTGTTGTCAGAAAAGTCATGATACACTTGCATAGAAAAATGTAGAAAAAACATACCATAGAAAAACATATCATAGGAAAAAACATCTCATTCTTTTCTGATAACCCAATACGGAGTATTGACCTTTGAGACATAAAGTATCTGAAACCTAGTAGGTACTCAGTACATGTTTGATGAGTGAAAAATGAAAATACATAGAAATCTGCCCATGTACTCTAAGTAACCATGGTGAAAATATGTTGCTTAGAGATTTAAAAGCTTTAGCATTACCTGAATTGTTTCTTGGTGATAATTAATCATCTTGAGGAGAAAGTCCTTAGGTTTTTATTTTGAGAATTTTCTTTCCAGAGTCTTAAGAACCATATAACACACCCAACTGACAAGAAACTTACAAGTCTCCTGAGTGTGAAGATAATGTTGGCAATTTTCAAGAAAGTGAGGCAAGATTTTTTTCTTCCCTAGTGTTTGTTGGCAGAGCAATTGATGGTTTTATGGTTGCTTATGATTTAACCTTACCACTGATAGTATATTTAGACACCCATGTCTTATTTATTTATTTATAGAGGGATTTTTGCTATAGGTTGCATGTGCTTGATGGAGAGACAAAAAGTGAGACATAAGCCCCCTAGGGGAGATGGCCACACCACAATCCCTTCTTCATTTTCCTCTTGAGATTTTGGGTATGTCCGCACTCGCACCCAGAGTTTTAAGCCGCCAGGTCTGGGACTCAAATTGTGGTCAACTACGTGGGAGTCCAGGGTCATAACTATCATGCCATCTGCTGGTTCCAAGACACCTATGTCTTAAAGCAGTGTTATTTCTGATTTTTAATTCATGTATGTCTTTAGTCCTTTGAACTCATTAATGAGAAAGTATAAAAACTTAGGTGCTCTGTTCTTGTTATCATTTAAAATTAGAACGAATTAATGGTTTATTACCTAACAGAATACAATGTTCCCATTGTTTCAGCTGGTGAAAAGCAAGTTGTTATTGATGATTATGTTATTGATGTTGATCTTCATGGTGATGGTAGTGAAATGAGATTGAAAAACTCAAGTAAAAATGGATTACTTCTCCTCAAAGCCTAAAGCTAGACTCTGGACTTCTAAATACAATTTTAGTACTATTTTTTTTTCTCATTAAAAATGGGGTTTAATGGTGTAAGTGTAAGTGAGGAGGTATTGAATTGACTTGCTAAAAGAAAGAGTATATCACTTTATTGTGGAAGTCGAATTATGGTTCTTGGATTCTGTGTTTTTGCTCTATTGAAACTACACTATTAAAACAAAAGAAGTTTTTCTAGGAATTATGAAATTAACAGTTGCAAGACACATCCACAATGAGATATCATTTCACCCCAATTAGACTTACATTATCAAAAAGGCAATAACAAATGCTGGCGAGCATGTGGAGAAAGAGACACTCTTGTACACTGTTGTGGGAATGTATACTACTACAACTGTTATGGAAAACAGTATGGAGATTACTCAAAAAATTTAAAAGTAGAGCTGCAGTATAAACTAGCTATCCTGCTAGGCATATATTCAAAAGAAAATGAGTATGTTGTGAAGATATCGGCACCCTAATGTGCATGACAGCATTATTCACAATAGCCAAGATATGGAATGAATCTTAGTGTCCATCAACAGATGAATGGAAAAAGAAAATGTGGCACATACGCACATGATGGAATATTATTCAAGAATGAAAAAGGAAGAAATCCTGTCATTTGAGGGTAAATGAGCGAGTCTGGAAGAAATTTTGTTGAGGGAAATAAGCCAGACATAGAGAAGTAACATATATTATTCTTCATCTGTAGAAATAGTGTTGGTGGGGAATGGAGAACTGTTGATTAATGGAAACAAAATTACAGATCGATAACAAGAACAATTTCTAGCATCATAAAACACAGAAGGAGAATATAGCTAGCAACAACTTACTGTATATCTCTAAGTAACTGGAAAAAAGGCTTTTGCTTGTCCCCAACATGAGCAATGACAGATGGTTGAGATGATGGCTATATTGATCATCCAGATTTAATCACTGTACGCTGGATTTTTGCACTGAGGAATCACATTGTACCTCCACTAATATGCATGATTATTATATGCTAGCAATAATACAAAATTAATAAATGAAACGATTATACTAGTGTCTGTTATACCCTTCTTTAGCCTAAATAAGTACAGGCTGACGTATTTCCAACATCTTTATTCAACTGTTATTTGGTGGAAATCAGTGTTGCCTCTGTGTTTGTCCACGCCATCAGCAGGCACGTTCTTTCCGAGGCAGTGGTAAATCTCTCACCTTCTGTGGAAGCACGTCGTCCTATCTGTGTTGTGCATAGACCTATTCCATGACCCCCATGACCCCAAGCAGCAGTCTGTATCCAGGCTTTCTTTGCTCAGTGACCTCTTCACTCTCTGCAGCCTGGTGTGGGTAACTAACATTTATTTTCACTTTGATATCTGAACTACAGAGCTTGCCAGTGGGATGCTTGCTGGGAGACATGCCAGCCCAGTTCTGGCAGACTTTATTGGAAGGCCCCAAGTTTAAAAAATATTGAGAGCTGCTTGAATCTTTGCAGCCATCCCATTGTCAATATGAACTAGACATGAGGAACATTTTGTTTTAGGAAGGTAGGAGTGAATAAAGGTGGGTATTCAATAAATTCCAAAGAGAAGGAACTGTTCATTTCCCTTCCTCTCATTCCCCTCGTGCCCTGAAGATTATCGGCAACACCCTTACAGCATATGGACTCCTTCAGCGCTTCCGAATTGATGGGCTCCAGATGGACTCACAGCTGGAACTCCCGGCTATGGCCAGTCTGCCCTTGACCTCATGCATTGCTCTAGCCCTGTGTTCACCAACAAGAATCCCTGGAATAAAGAGGCTATGGACTAAGCCTGCAGGCCAGACGAGCCCTTCAAACATCAATTTCAAAGACTAGATCATAATTTGAAAAACACAATATAAACAGGAAAAGGGGAGAGGGGGGCGTTGCAGTTTCAAGCTGCTAGCAATTAGGCACTAATTAGGTTTCTACAGCTGAGTGGCTGCAGCAGCCCAACAGTACCACGTGTGTCTGTTTCAAATGTAAGGGGTTTCTCAGACTAATCTTTCCTAGTGAAACTAAGCCACAGTTTGCAGACTGACCTACAGAATAGATATATTGTAAATATATTCACATGTAACTGGTTAATGGAGTTTCTCAGTTTCATTTATAATAAAAAATTGAATTAAAAACTATAGTTAGCCAGCAGGTGGAGGAGTAGTTAAGGCATTGGATTCCCATGTTGACTGTGGTTTAAGTTCCGGACCTGGCAGCTTGAAACTCATGCTGGGCGCATGTGCGTTTATACTCATAACCCTGAGATGAGAGTGGAAGAGAAGGCATTGTGTGTGACCACTCCTCCCCTCACTTTCTGTCTCTGTCTTTCTGGTGAGCACACATGCCCTATAGGAAAAACAACAACAACAACAAAAAAAACTCAAAACAAAAACAAAAATAAAAACACTACAGTTAGATAGGAAGAGTAACTGCTAATGTATATAATACTTGTGTAAAAATCAGATGCTAATTAATACATTTGTTAATATTCATGAAATCTATATCAAGCACTGTGGAAATGTATTTCGAGTGGGAAATTTACATGATCAGCATAATACTTGTTCAATGACACATTTTTTGAAAAGTAATTTGTATTGCATACTACTAGATGTAAAACATATAACTGGTTAGACCCAACATGTCAACATCCCAGAATTATCCCAGACAATTACTGCTTTCTGATTTAAGTTTTTCAAGTTTTTTTTTTCTGCAATAGAAGTAGAATGCAGTGGAAAGTTTGAATAATTGATGCCTCTTGTTAAGTTGAGGTCCTGTGAATTCACAGGCATGAGTCAAATGATTGGTACAGAAGGATCTTGAGAAGGGCTGCAGAGAGTACAATTTAGAACCAAGTACCAGTTGAAGAATGGCTTACATTCCATGACTAGTTTTAAGTGTCTTTTATACATCAACCACTTGAATGATATGTAAGAGATGTTAAATGCTCTGAAATATAATATTGGATCTTTTCCAATGACCCAATAGCTATTGGATAATATGAAAGACATGGTCTCTGACCTCAACAAAGTTAGAGTCTAATAAATAAAAGAGAAGATCTGGTCAAAGAGAGTGGGCAATATAGTCAGAACAAGTTGTGGTTCCAAGCTGGACTCACTGTGTAGAAAGACAAAGGCACTACTGAGAGCCTTTGCCGGGTAGCAGGTCTATATGGGTGTCCTAGAAGAGCAGAAGAAAGTGGAAGTCAGCTGGAGAGAGCAAGGGAGCGGGGCCTGTGGTAACCAATGGAGACCACCGAAGTATGGCATCAGGACCAAATTCATCCAACTTTCAAAGAATTTACTCTCCCTGCTTTTAATGCCTTCGGTTTCTTTCCTGCGCGAATATGGCTGAACTTGTGGTAGGTTACTCAGAGGAAGGCAGGCATGGGGGTGAGAAGTTGGGAAATGTGCTAACAGTTGAAACTCCTCGTTGTAAGAAAAATTGGTGTTTCAATACAGACTCATCTTTTTATTTGCAGATCCACCCAAAGTCACTGTGATGCCCAAGAATCAGTCTTTCACGGCAGGGTCTGAAGTCTCCATCATGTGTTCTGCAACAGGTTATCCCAAGCCAAAGATGGCCTGGACCGTGAACGATGTGTTTATTGTGGGTTCACACAGGTACTGGGTTTGTATCACGTTCTTTGTTTTCATTGAGTGAGAAAAGTTGATGAAATTTTGGGGCCAACATAATCCTGACCCAAACCCTAAGATTATAAAAAGCTTGACCAAAATCTGCAGCTTTAGATTTTCTAGACAGGCTAAGAAATATTGAAAAATACAATATAAATGATGAATTTATAGAGTTTGAGGCTATTAAGTTCTTGATTTCAATGACTGAGATCAGGTGCTTCCTAAAACTTTGAGTTGGAAATGTAACAATGTAACACTTGGTTTAACTTGAGTAATTACCATGGGAATATAAACAACTTTTTGTGAGATGATCAATAAAATAACACAAAGTTTTTATAGATCTGTTAAAACCATTGTCCTGGGGACCAGCAGATGTGAAATGGCTACGTCACTGAAGTCCCATGTAGTCGACCACAGTTTGAATCCCGAACACAGTGGCTTAAACTCACACTGGGCGCATGTACATGGGTGTCCAAGATTCCGACAGGAGAATGGAGAGGGGATTGCAGTGTGTCCATCCCCCCTGGGGGGTGATTTCTCACTTTTTGTGTCTCTGTCTCTGTCTTTCTGGTGAGCACATGTGCCCTATAGCAAAAAACCCCCCCCCCCCCAAAAAAAATAAAGCCATTGTCCTGTATTTAACAGAAGAGAGAAAGAGACGAAGGACAGAAAAGTAGCTCCAGAGTAAGAAGTAATAGCTAGTGTTCTAGAGCCCACAGGGTGAAGAGAGTTAGCAATACGGGTGGTATAACTGAATATAAAACTGAAGTGTGTACAACATTCTTTGAAACTCTTTTCACTTTTTGCCATGATGCACTGAGAGGTATTTGATTCTACTACATAGTTTTTAAAGACAGTTGAATCCGCTCATGCTCAGAGTGTCATAAATAAGAGGAACATAAGCAACAAAGTTTCCAGCCATTGGATTTCCATTACTCTGGGTTTGGCATGAGAAGGAGGGTTAGGTATGAGCCAGATTCTATTCCTAGGCTTATCACTGACTCGCTCTGTGACATGAGGCATTGTGTCTCAGGTTTTCATTATGAGGGACCCTCTAGCAGAGAGCACATGTGCCCTATAGCAAAAAACCCCCCCCCCCCCAAAAAAAAATAAAGCCATTGTCCTGTATTTAACAGAAGAGAGAAAGAGACGAAGGACAGAAAAGTAGCTCCAGAGTAAGAAGTAATAGCTAGTGTTCTAGAGCCCACAGGGTGAAGAGAGTTAGCAATACGGGTGGTATAACTGAATATAAAACTGAAGTGTGTACAACATTCTTTGAAACTCTTTTCACTTTTTGCCATGATGCACTGAGAGGTATTTGATTCTACTACATAGTTTTTAAAGACAGTTGAATCCGCTCATGCTCAGAGTGTCATAAATAAGAGGAACATAAGCAACAAAGTTTCCAGCCATTGGATTTCCATTACTCTGGGTTTGGCATGAGAAGGAGGGTTAGGTATGAGCCAGATTCTATTCCTAGGCTTATCACTGACTCGCTCTGTGACATGAGGCATTGTGTCTCAGGTTTTCATTATGAGGGACCCTCTAGCAGAGCAATTCATCCTGTGGAGCAAGATGGTCTGGGTGCAAATTCCAGTTATTTTTCTACTGACTCTGACTTTCTTTTTTCCAAAGAGATGTTTGCCATAGTGTGCATGTGCTTGCCAGAGAGACAGAGAAACAGAAAGCGAGAAATCACCCCCCAGGGGTATGGCTATGCGCAATCCCCTCTCCTCCATTCTCCTCTCAGGATTTTGGAAATGCATGCACATGCACCCCGTGCGAATTTCAAGCTACAGAGCTTGGCACTCCAGCTGTGGTTGGTCATGAGGGAGTCCAGCACCTTAACCACTACACACCTGCTGGCCCCATATCTTGATACTGCTACTACAGTCTTTTCAACTTTATTTTCTTTTTGTCTTTTATCCATAGGTATAGAATGACCTCAGAAGGGACCTTACTTATAAAAAATGCAGTTCCTAAAGATGCAGGGATCTATGGTTGTCTGGCAAGTAATTCAGCTGGAACAGATAAACAGACTTCTACCCTCAGATTCATTGGCAAGTATAATCAGTTCAAAAGGCAATTAAAATAGGATGGATATCCTATAAAGCAATATAAAAGTACCTTTCTATAAATTTGTTATGCGTAAGGTATCCATACCATTACAATTTCTTATTCATCTCACACATTGATTAAAGCAAACACTGTAGCTATTTTCAGTGAAATGTCAGAGAGTGAGTAGTTTCATTGGTCAGCAGAAATCAAGGAAGCTTCCAGGCTATGGGAGGCTTCAAGGTTGTTCTCTGAGTTTCTGCTCTCGCATGGCTTATCAGTTCTCTGCAATATTTCACTTTCAAATTAATAAATTCTCTGTCGTTTATAGCTTATTTCAACTTCTAGTATATATTTTCTATTTACTTTCAAAATCGTGTATAATATTATTTTCACTTTCCTTTTTCAATTTTTCTCTTTCAGATTAAGTAGAAATACTGATCTTTCTTAGTCAAATAAAGGATAAAGACGTTTTCTGCTCAGTGTCAGTTGGTAAATCATAAATAATTAGTGGCTTACAATTTCCCCTGCCACTGTTAATCAGCCTCCTTGACAGTAAGATCATGAAACTGGTGGTGTACAGGAGGGGGTGTGAAAGAGCCGTTAGTGCAGACAGAACTGTAGTTGGTGTATATTGGTGAGGGAGGGAACCAAAGTGTCACAAGTATTGAATTTGAGAGCCTGGAGAAGAACGGTCTCATTTGTGAAATAAGGAATTGACGTGATGCATACATGACATGATCTTTGAGGAGGTAACTCTAGCTTTGTTTAACACTGTCTCCACTGGAGTTAGGAAGATCTAAAATGTCCAGTTAAAAGAAAATATGCGTGAAATGAAGCATTTGGCAAAAGGGTGAAACAGCTAAGGAAAGAAATGCCAGATAAGGTCTATATTGTGCATCGTAGAGGAAAATCGAGTCAAAACTGGGAGACTGTATTTATGAGTGAACATTTTAGCCTTGGGCTGAAAATCTCTCTCTGTGGTTAGACATGAATATTCTTAAAATCATGTGGAACATGGTATTAACAAATTTCTCTGCATCTGTATTATTCTCAAACCCTGATTTAGCCAAGTCAGTCTTATCATCATTTCTCTTTGGATTATATTTTTATTACAAGGATTACTCTGTGTTCTTTTGGTATTGTTTCTCTCTCTTTTTTTAAAAATTTTGATTTTATGATTTCTTATTTAGATCCAGTGGTTGTACATTTCTGTAAGTGCACAAAATATATATATATATATATATTTTTTTTTTTTGGTTATAGGGTGCTTTTGCTCACCAGAAAGAAAGACAGAGAGAGACAGAAAGTGAGCAGAAAGTGAGAAATCACCCCCCAGGGGGGATGTCCACACCACACAATATGGTTTTTCAAAGTATGCATTGCAGTTTATGAGAACGAAATCCAGAATATTACCATATACATATTTTTTTAACAGAGAGCTTGGGACCAGCAGATGGTGTAATGACTATGCTGCTGGACTCCCATGTAGTTGACCGTGGTTCGATTCCCAGACCTGGTGGTTTAAACTCCCACCAGGGGCATGTGCGTATGTGCCTTCTCAAGATCCTGAGAGGAGAATGGAGGAGAAGGGATTGTGGTGTGGTCATTTCCCTTGGGGGGGAAGGTGATTTCTCGCTTTCTGTCTCTCTGTCTCTCTTTGTCTTTCTGGTGAGTGCATGTGCCCTATAGCAAAAACCTCTCAAGAAAACAAAAAATAAAAAAAGAGAGAGCTTTACATTTTTGTATCTGTTAAGTGCTCTTCCCTAGATCTCTCACACCCCCTCTACTGTGTACTTCCTTCCTGTACGGCCTCTGACAAATACACTTGCACTCTCTGCTGTTACATCTTTGGATCTTTCAGGTTCTACCGTAGAATATTGTTTCTTAATGACGTATTCAACTTTCTAAGCTTTTTCTTTTCTCATATCCCTCTTTTGTAGTAAGGCCTTGCAACTAATTTCCTAAAATTTGTTGGCTTGTTTTATAACTACTTGGAGTTTCAGTCATGTTTTTTGCCTAATATCGTTTAGAGGAGCTTTAATAAGTGATCTTTTTATCACATATGTCTGTGTACACCTATAGTTTGGTTATAAACATTTAAAAAGCCATAGGTACACAAATACTGATAGATTTAACTTGACTTGTTTAGTAAACATAATGATTTCCACGTGGTATTGTACTAGATGCTATTATTTGCATGTTTGTGTTTTTCAGAAGCCCCAAAGATGGTTGTAGTTCAGAGTGAACTCTTGGTTGCCCTTGGGGATACCACAGTTATGGAATGCAAAACTTCTGGTGTTCCTCCACCTCAAGTTAAATGGTTCAAAGGTACATTCTTTAAATATATTTGTGTCTGCTTCATTTAAGTTTGTTTTATTAAAAAAAATTGCTAAAAATTTATTTTGAGTGTGTGACTTAGCAGCACCATAAAATGTGTTTATGATCTCACTGGAGACGATAGTTCAAAATTCTGGATTCCAGATTTCAGGATTTAACATCTGGTATGGATTATGGGACCATGAAAATCAAAGCAGGAAAAGGCCTCCTTTGCTAATCCAGCCGAACATTCTCATTGTTAGTTTAGGATTGTTTCCTGTAGAAAATTGTCCAAGAATACTCGGTTAATGTTTAAAATAGCTTCACTGATGTTAGTTCAATTTTCTTAGAGATGATGACTCTTACTATTGAGACGTTTGCTAGATTCTCAACCATGCTTTCTACCAAGTGCTCAAGTAAGGACACGTAGGAAGCTTGCAGGATATTGAAATTCAAATGTATTTCTTAGCTTTATCACGTGTGGTAGTTGCTGGTGGCAAGTATGGAAATGATCTGCCTATGTTTGTAACACAAGGATTAGACCTTGTGGTTCTGTAATGAAACAGCAGAAATGTGCCTCTTGACCTTAGCGGGAACACACTTGGGTCCTGATGGAGGCTCAGATGTGAAAGATAGATTTCTGGGTAAACAGCCCTGCTTCTGTTTTTTTCCTCAATTGCTTCAGTTTAGGAGATAAAGAAAAAAATTCTGCAACATCCTAATAGGGTGGTTGCTAGGATTATTGAGACGCTGTTTGCAAAATACTTTTTAATCTTAGGATGAAAAATGCTAAATAGTACAAAGCACTATTGTTATGATTCTGTTTGTTAAATCACAGACATTTCCATAGCAACAGGTTGATGTCATAATCACAAAATTATGAATTCACCTCGGGTTCAAACTCCAAGGGAACATGAGGTGAAAAATAAGGTTTTATGTAGAAAACAAATACTTTTGAATAAGGTAAATCAAAAGGAAAACTAGGAAATAATGCCATGTTCATGGTTTTCTATGTCTAAAATATTTTAGTTTTCATGTTTTCCTTGCTAACAAAGCATTTTTGCATTCGCCTCTTAATCAGGTTAGTTCAAGAAACATAAGAAAATTTTACTTAGTTAAAATACATAAATCTTAAAGTTGTCAATGAAATAGATATCAAAGTTGAATTCACATTATAATTAAATAGATCCAGAAAAGATGTGTAATTTGAGAGAGTAGGTTTTTTTTTAATTTTAATGTTATTTGGTAGTTTATGATGAAAATAAAAATTCAAAAAGTAATGGAACATGCTGATTTCTCTGCCTGTGTATAGCAGACTCATGCATGAAGTCTTGCATTCTCCCAAATTGGGGCTACTCTCCTGAATAAATTGATCTTTGTTACAGTCTTGATCCCGGAAATTACTAGGAAACTAAAGGAGGAGGTAGGAGCCATGCAGTTACTACATGGAAAATTCTAGAATGCACTACTATTTGTTTCTTTTTCAACTATAGATATTTCCATTTAATAGGTTCAGTAAAGACATTCCATTTTCCTGTCCAAGTTATGAACCAACAGAGATAGGATGTGGGCATTAGATACTGATACAAGTGTTGGAAGATGAGTTTCTCCATGTTCACCAACAATAGGAAAACTGTCCTAAGACCCAGGACTAGGCCAATTCACTCTTCCAGTCACAGACAGACAATGTATTGCATAAGCAGAGTCACCAAGGTCATCAAGAGTGAAACTAGAGGGCAAAACCTTCTGCAGGTAGACTGGCTTCAAAATGGAGGCAGTTGGGCCTTCCTATTTCACTAAGAAGGTTAAGAAAATCTTATCCCTTAGAAGCTGTAGGGTGAAGAAGAGTTCCTGTCTTAATCATAAAAATAACTTGTTCTTCATACAATTCTGATTCAGGCAGTTCTGTTCTTCAGGTAATTCTGATTGAATAATGTAAATTTTTAAAAATAATATGTGTTGCATGCCATTCAGATCATTGGAAAAAATAAATTACGTAAGTCCAAATTGCCTCTGTAGTTTTAGATCTTTCATCTTTAGAAATTAGCAACATAATGTGAGTTCAAAATAGAATCAAGGATGCTATTAAAATCTAATGAAAAAGATATTTGTGGTAAAATATTAAAGATTAAATTGGCTACATTTACTTAGATTGATGGGTGTCATAATGTAGTTTGCAATCTATGTGGGATTTGCTCCCTTCATTTTCAGGTGAATCCAAGAAATCAAAACTATTTTCAAAGTAATATTAAGGTCTTTATCCTTTCCACTCTCATTGTCTCATGAATGAATAGTGGAGTTTCTGGAGGCTGTTGCTATGTGATCTCCCATTGGGTGAAGGCAGGAGCAAATGTGAACACTCAGCGGTCTTCTGTTAAACCAGACACTCTAGACCTCATAGATTTGCCATTCTTCCCACTAAATTTCTCTTGCTTCAGAAAATATAATTTTTTTCCATAAAATACTTTCATTATTTTAAAATGTCAGGAGTTTACTCTTAAGTTAATGCATATGCTTTTCAATTTCTCAATTTAATTTGTAAAATGCTGAATACAAATAAATATAATCCACATAAACAAAAATTCACCAGAGACTCCAGTAATTTCTTTTTTTTTTTTGAGAGAGATTTTCACTATAGGGCATGTACACTTGCCAGAGACACAAAGAGAGATGGAGAGAAAGAAAGTGAGAAACCACCTCCTAAGGGGAATGGACATACCAACAATTCCCTTCTCCTTCATTCTCTTTTCAGGATTCTGGGCATGCTCGCACATGTGCCCAGTGTGAATTTCAAGCCACTGAGTCCAGGACTTGAACTGTGGTCCACCATGTGGGAGTCCAGCACTATACCACCTGCTGGCCCGACCCCAATAATTTTTAAGAGTATACTTCACAGGGTCTTGAGACAAATTTTTGATAACTCATTTAATTATCAACTATTCGAAAACATCATATATCAGGAATAATGATCTGTTAGTTGCTATATATCTAGAGGCCAGGAATGAATTCAAATAGCAGCAGAAGCAGATCCCTCCTCAATGGTAATGATTGTTAAATCCTTGACTAGATTGTCAGGAAAGTTTGTATATTTACTGTGTATAACATTCTAATCTTACCTAATATTAAACTAAACAGTCTGTCTCATTTTCATCTGAAAGGTTCTGTATTTCTTGATGACTTCTGAATAACTTGATAATTAATTTTTCAGTAGAAATCAAGAGAGGCTCAAAACGCGATTAAAATGTAAAGATGATTGAACTAGTGCTTTCTAATTTATATTTTATTTCATGACTGCTCTTCTTTTTATTAATTAATTAATTTATTTCTGTCATTTGAGACAGAGAGAGAAGCACCCTCAACAGGGTCTCATTCTGCTGTCCTCCCACTAGCCTTTCTTGCCAGCCAGGATCATGCATGTATTTCTGCCCAATGTATACAGATTACTCTGGGAACTGAACCCTGGATGTTCCATATGGTTTCCAGCGTGGAGAGCCATGTGCTATCACTGTGCCTTGTGGCTGGGCTGATTGCTGTTCTTTAAACATTTTTAATTTGCAAAACAAAAAGAAAAGGTCTTTATTTCATCCTATTATGTCCTCTGATATACACAGAAGAAATAGGAGAGAAGTAAATTAAAAAATGTAAATGCTTTTTAGTCCAAATATTTTCATATTTGGTGAACAGTGGGGTCACACTGCAGCCTCCCTTAGTGGGAGGAAAGTTTATGTCAACATCATCTGCTTTTATTTATGGAAATTTCCCAGAGGCACACAGATGCAGCTTTAGTTGCTTGCTCATGTGGTATGTAGTAGCAAACTTACGAGGATGATTGGAGTTTTCAGTACTGGAATGCTGAAAAATACTTTGTGTTTGGCACTGCTAGTGTTTGCTATTTTTTTTTTTTTTAATTAAGAGCTCCTTTGACTCGTCTCCTCAGAAAATTGTATAAACAACAAGAGACTTATGTGTTGGTTGCCTGAGTCTCTTGTAGGTGCTGATTGCTGTAGCTTATAGTCCTATAGGAAGGTGTAGAATTACTACCTCCTAGTCTCTTTTCTTGTTAGAAACCAGGAAAGTTATCTTCTGTGGTCCTCAGGCCCAGGGCACATGGCTTGTGTGTGACATTTTGGAAAATACCTTTTCAGACTTGACATTTGGAAATGCTGGGAAGCTCTAAGAGCAATGCCCTCCAACCTCCTGGAAGTTTTTAGGATCCTCGCATGTTTGATATCACTCTTTACAGCAAAAAACAAACAAAAAAGATGTGGACACTGAGCTGTGGCAGAACATCCAGTACTCCTACGAATCACCCTGGTTAATTTCATTCTTTGGCGAAGAAACACCCTGGAAAAGAGGAAGCATAGGAGAAGCTTAAGCTAACCCTCAGCTTTGTTGAGGCATTGTTGCCTTCAAATAGAAGTAGTTCTTGGGTGATTTGAGGTGCTCCAGAAACATATGACATACACACAGGGTCTTCAGAAGCTCATGACAATGTGTATTGCATATATTTCAAAACGTTTTTGGACAACGGAATAAACTTGCACTTGAATTCCATTTTTCCATGAACTTTTTGAAGTCCTCACGAGTAACCCAGACATAAGTAGTCTTTCTCGGTTCATCCTGCCCTCACACTTGAGGTCAAACTCAGTGGTATGTGGTTCCATCTCTCACATGTTTATTCTCTACCTGCTTCTCCAAAGATCCCATAACTCCAACTTCAATAGTTTTGACAACGAACAGTACAGTTTTTAGTAGAGAAATCCTGAAAGATTTATATAACCAAACCCTTCCAACTATAGTCAGAGGTTTTGTCAATGGATGGGAGAGTGTCGAGCTGCATGGTGAAGTCCTTGGTTCTTTGGGTCCAGATCACTAAAATTAGAGATCTGTCCCTAGGCGCAAAATGAAACCGCAACCACAAATGAAGTAGGTAGAAAAGAAGTACACCTAAAAGGCTCTTGGGCGGGCAGATTGCCAGGTGTCAACTACATCTGGTACTGGTTAATCGTTATTTTTAATACTAGAGGCGGTCATGAATATATATTGGTGGGAGGTCTGTCATACTACCTACGTCCTTCTTTTGGATTTGAATCTGCGCGTTTTCTCCTGCGCTTGTGCACTTTTCTCACAGGTAAAGAATGAGGAATTTGATTACCTAACTGCGCATGCCCAGTGTGAGCCAGGTTGTTTAATAAGACTGCTTAATTAGTTTATTGCCCTAGTGGGAATTAGGACGTTGACCTACTGGGAATTAGGGCATTGACTAAAATGCTTACTTGGGCATTAGGGTGTTGACCAAAATGCTTGCTTGGGTCTTTTTGATCCTTTTGCTTTTTTTCTTAGGGCTGCCCACTCATAAGTAACTAACTGCCTGTCACAGTTTCTCATCCATTCCTTCTATTCTCACAATAAGCTTTTCCCTAGTTTTTCCAGCCAGCCATCCTCCAAATTCTCTCTGCCAGCTTATACTTCTTCCAAGACAAAGTCTAACTGAAAGCATTCAGCAAACCAAACACCCCGTCATTAGTGGATGAAGACTGCTTCTTGTGGGGGAGAGTGGCAGAGGATGGCATAGCAGTAAAATACAGCTCACCCAATGGGAAGTGGTTGGTTCATGTATAGCAGAGATGCCTATGCCCATGCCCATGACCCAGGATTGGCTGAGCCTGGGAATGGGTCACGGTGTCAAGACCTTATTGGGGGTGCTTCTCTCTCCTCTGTCTTGCATGGAATAAATAAATAAGCTTAAAAAAAACCCTAAGAATACTCTAGTCTCTAAGCCTTTCCTGTGATGCCATAATGATGATAAAAACCTCTTTTCAGCCTAATCTCTGCATTCCCTTCCTAACATAGCCACAGTTGCAGCTGCCAGCTAGTTCCAGTTTCCCAATGTAGTTTTAAAGAGCTCATTCTTACTTAGTACATGTGCAATGTAAATACGAAATACTTATACATAATTTATATCTGGCCAAATTTTAGACTATAGATATGTCTATGTTGTACCAGACACTTTATTTATTATTATATTTTTTAGAGAGATGTTTGCTATAGGGCACGTGCATTCACCAGAGACACAGAGAGAGACAGAGAGACAGAAAGCCAGAAATCACCCCCTGGGGGCGGGGGGGATGGCCACGCTGCAATCCTTATTCCTCCATTCTCGTCTCGGGATTTTGGGCACGCACGCACACATCCCCAGTGTGACACTTGTATTTAAAAACCTTGTAGTCACTTGTATTTGGAAGTTTTAAAATCAAGCAATAGCTGAATCAACTGTTAGTACTTGACGTTTAATGTTCCCCTCTTTGTTTTGACTTAGGAGATCTGGAGTTGAGGCCCTCGACGTTCCTCTTGATTGACCCTCTCTTAGGACTTCTGAAGATTCAAGAAACGCAAGACCTGGATGCTGGCGATTACACATGTGTTGCCTTCAATGATGCTGGCAGAGCAACTGGCAAGATAACTCTGGATGTTGGCTGTAAGCATCCAGATCTGGTAGACAAATTTGTTTTGAAATTGATTCACTATTTTTCTGTATTTAATAACTTCAAAAAAGATTGGTAGAAATGCTTATTAGAATGGCAGAATTTGAGAGAGCATTTCAGATTGAAAAAAAAGTTTTTGTGGTTGTTCTAAGAGAGATTTTTTGCTATAGGGTGCATGTGTTTGCCAGAGAAACAGAGAGACAGAAAGTGAGAAATCACCACCCAGGGAGGATGGCCATGCTGCAATCCCTTCTCCTCCATTCTCCTCTCAGGATTTTGGGCATGTATGAACACACTTGAGCCCGGCATTAGTTTTTTAAGCCACCAGGTTTGGAGTGTGAACCGCGGTCCACTAGGTGGGAGTCCAGTGACATAATCATTACGCCATCTGCTGGTCCCGTCATTTGAGATAATTAATATATTCATTGTAGTTGGCATTCAGTAGAGGCTTTCTATGTTTCATTCATTGTGCCAAGAACTTGGAAATGCATCTTCTCATTAAACTCCCACTACAAGCCTGCAGGGAAGATAATTTAATGATCTCCTCCACTAGATAGATAAGGAAACAGAAGCTTATTAAAGCCAAGCGATCTGAATATTTGCATCCAAGGTAGCTGACTTCAGAAACTGCAGGCTTTACCATCATCTCTTACCATTTTTCTATCAGGAGTCATCCATTCTACCACCCAGTTCCTAAGTATTAACATCTGGAGGCCAGAAATTAAACTTTGGCGGTAGACCATAATTTGGAGATGTTGATGACAGCAAAGGTAGCAGACTGTGCTTTTGCTTTTTCTTTAATTCACTAGCAATTACTCCCCAATGTACATAAGAAAGTATTAAGTACAAATAAATGTCAGTTACAATGTGAAGGATACTGTGTGTATATGACAGCTATATTTGTGTTCCTCAAGGAGTTTGGTCATCTCCTCTTCCTTGTCTTTCTGTCTCATATCTCTTCTGGAAAAAAAGCAAACTACTTTCACTCCAAAAACGCTAAACTGCTTCATCCAAGACAGTACCCAACAACTGGCCCCAAAACAGCCTGAAAACATGTTGCAGCTCTAGAGAGTACCATGTTGACACCTGCCTCCAGAAGACCCACGTCCCCTATCACCCTAAAGGACAATGCTCCTTCTCAGCTTGAGGTAGCTCCAGAAGACTGACCTTTGTCCATAATCCCTTGTTCCACTCTCACCTCATCATTTTTTTATAAATGTTAAAGGCTGGAAATGTTAGATCAGCCACTGAATGGCCTTAAGGTAATTTCCCATCCAAAATTAAGGAGATGGTTACAGTGACATTTGGCCAGAATCCTCCCTTACTGGCAGCCAACACCCATAAGTGGGCCAATAAGGTCACAGTGGCAAGTAAGCTAATCAAGAATTTGCCATTCTTGTGACCCCTCCACCCCTCCCATATAAACACATCACGTCTCCTTGAGGGGGTAGGCAGAAGCACCTTCGGCTTCAGACCCCGGGCGCTCTTACTCTCTTAAAAAACCAAAAACCAAAAAACAAACAAAAAACCTACATAGTGTGGTAAAATGTGAAATAAACCAGAGCTCACTGTGTATGAAAAAGAACCTAACAACTTCATTTAACAGATAACTAAACATTTGCGTCACTTGTAAAACTTAAGAACTACGACATTTGATTAAGTTAAGTATTTTCATTTACATTTGATGGCTTTCAGGCAAAAATATTTTTTGAACAAAAGTTAAAAATGCTAGAGAAAATACATATTTTAAGAACATAGTAACAAAAAACCTTTCAGTTCTATTACCTTAAGTCTTTAAATGAAAATTATGGCTAAGTTTGAACTTTTGTTTCATGTAAGCTAAAATTTTTTGGCCCAGCATTTTTGATGTCAGCCTTCCCTGGGCTGTCTGGTGCACACACTATATTCGTGGTGGTTATGCCCTTGAGGTAGAATCAACAAAGCTGGAGTTGACCGCAGAGAACACTGTACAATCTGTCTGGGGCACTGCAAAATGTGTTTGAACCGTGACTAAACTGTCATTATTAAGAGAAATGCCTGGAAAATCAGTCTGGAATCTCAGGGTAGAAGATGTCTCTGAATCTACCAGCAGGGTGAAACGAGTTACGCTTTGAGAACATAAGGTTCAAATGAGGAGGGTCGCTAAGTACAGAATTCTTGCTTTTGGAAAATAGACCTTTCCGTGTCCAGTGTTTTTTGGGTCTGCTTCTCCTTCCTGCACAGAGGTATCCTTCTTACTCAGTATTTTTTAATCTTCTAAGTGTAGAGGAAGAGAGAAACAGCCTCAGTAACAGATTTCAGCACAGAGATGTTGACCCCCTCAACCCTCCTCCAGGTTTGTAGAAAAGCTAAGATCATAATTAGGCATCTTTGCTTACTGACTATCTTCCTGATAACCTTTTAGGTTCTGGACTTGCAGGTTCTCTTCTTCCCAGCGATACACTGCCTAAGGGTTAGGCCTGTTATTGCTGGCATGACTTGCATTGGCTTAGGAAGCATCCCAATAAATGTGTCAAGTTTATGCTTCATTCCTTGAACTGAGTTGTACTTTGTTTTATCTCTATTCTTCTTCAAGATCTTTTCTTGCCATGACACTTTCTAAAACAATGGCTTCCTCAAGGTTCATTCCAGTCATTGTCCCGATAGAAACCATTAACATCAATTCAATTTTTTCTTACTTGTAACCATGACTCTTGTTAACAATTTAACTTAACATTAAGGCCAGCTTCATTTATGTTTCTGTTGTTTCTTATTCACCCATAGATTCTCATGGCAGCTCACAGAGGTGGATTAGACCTTATTTGTTCACATGAAACCTGTGTGTATATTCTAGCAGATAGAGGGTGTAAGCACAAATCACATTTGGAGTGAAGATGGTAGTCCTCTCACTCTGAGGTTTGAAAGCAAACACACTACAAATGGAAACTTTCCCCAGAATGTATATAGTGATTAAGAGAATAGACTTTGGCAAGAGAATGGGCTTTGTGCAAGATTTTACTTGTCTATAAAACTGGGATATAGAGACCAGCAGGTGGCGAGGTGGTTCCGGTGTTGGAGTCCCACATGGCCAACAGTGGTTTGAGTTCCATACCTGGTTCCTTGAAAATCATGCTGGGCATGTGTGTTTGCATGCCTGAAATCCCAAGAGGAGATTGGAGGAAAGGGTATTGCAATGGCCATCTCCCCCCCTGGGGTGGGGGGTTTTCTCACCTTCCCTCTCTCTGTCTCTGGCAAGCACATGTGCCTGGTGACAAAAACCTAAAAAAGAAAGAAGAAACTGGGATAAAAGGTAACTACCTAATAAGGCAGTTGTAAGGATGAACTGAGATAATTACTATCTACAAACACTTATGTCAGACATGACTGCTGTTTCCTGTTTAAACTGCTTAATGTGACATTTATCTGGTAGATGATATTACCTTCGCAAATGAAGTGATCATATTGATTCTTTGAGTCTTGAAAAACAATATACAAATGCCAATAGAATACTGGCATCGTTTTTAAGAGTAAGCACTGGCCTTTACTATGAAAATCACTATTTCAACTTGGATATTTTTAGAAAAGGCTTGAGACAACTACTAAGTTTTATAGTGTGTAAAATTATTCATTTGGGTTCCAAAACTGTTGGGAATAAGTTTAAGCAGCTGATGACTTAAGAAGAAAAACATATTTGTGTCCATATCATGTAGCTATTTGGACTTTCAGATTGTTTTTGTGGGCCTATAACTTCACATCAACACGACTAGCTATTAAATATTATTCTTGAGTTCTAGCTTCATGGAGCGAATGTCCTTTTTCCTATTTCTCATTAACAGGGCTTTAAGTTTTCAACATTTCAGGTCAACAGGGAATGTGACCAGTGCTTCTTATGCTTTGTAAAAAGGAGTAGTGAATTGTGAAGTTATTTGGATGGAAAGAGGACTGGTTTCATCAGACGAGTAGTTGGCCTGGCAGTGACTTTATCTGTAACATTCTGCACCACACAGGATTTGAGTCTTTGACTGTGGATTCCTATTTTGTGGTCCGATGAGCAAAAGCAATGTGTTTGGTCATTTTTTAAATGAAAACCTCTGACTAACATAATGCAAGACTACCCTAGTGAGGGTATATATTTAATTGTCTCTAAGGGAATTAAAATGATTTTATGGAATATCTTTAGAGCAACATGGTCAATCTGTGCTTTATGTATTTTCAAAATAATGTGTGCCCACAGCTTATCTATCTGGAAGTTACAGCAAAGCTGTACTGTGGCATTAACCCTATGCAGATGTCAAGGTGTGGACAACAAAGGCTTAGGGGACTACGGATGCTCAAACCTTATCCTACAGACTGTATGTTGAAGCCAAAAATAAAATTAGCAGTATATGGGACCAGCAGGTGGTGTAATGGCTATGTGGCTAGACTCCCACATGGCCAACTGCGGTCCAAGTCTGGGATCTGGCGGCTTCAAACTCATACTGGGCATGTGCGTGTGTGTTCAAAATCCCAAGAGGAGAATGGAGGAGAAAGGATTGTGGTGTGTTTATCCCCCCGGGAGGTGATTTCTGTCTGTCTGTTTCTCTCAGGTGAACACACACACCCTATAGCAAAAATCTTCTCTAAATAATAATAATAACAGCAATAACAACATATATATTAAATCTAAGAACTCGGGTTTAATATATTAACTCTCTAATATTTATTTTTAATTGAATGGTTACTACGTGCTAAATAATTATGAAGGGTCTTTTAGCAACATGAGATTGAACATGCTATTATCCCCCTCTTGTTCCTGGGGAAATTGAGATTGGAGAAGGTAAAATAATTCCCCAAGCCCACAGATGAAGCAGTACTGGAACTGCCATTCAGAACCACTCAGTGGCCTTTTCACCTCTGAGCCCCACAGCCCCATCTGTTCAAGAACCATCGACTGCACTGCTTTCACTGCCGCTCTTCTTCCCAGTCTCATTAATGTTTCCCAACTACTGATGCAATCCACCTGGAGTCTGTGTTGGCCAAACCCAGGAGCAGGAAGTATTTAAAAGGCTTCTGGGGACAAGCAGATAGCGTAATGGCTATGTCGCTGGACTCCCATGTAGTCAACCGTGGTTCGCGTCCTGGACCCGGTGGCTTAAAACTCACGCCAGGCGCGTGTGCGTGCGTGCCCAAGATCCCAAGAGGAGAATAGAGGAGAAGGGATTGCGGTGTGGCCATTGCCCTGGGGGGGTGATTTCTCGCTTTCTGTCTCTCTGTCTCTCTCTGTCTAGCGAGCGCACGTGCCCTATAGCAAAAACCTCTCCAAAAAAAAAAAAAAAAAGGCTTCTGGGCCAGGTTGGGAGTTCTTTCTTCTTGAGGCTTGCTTGTCACTGGTGCTTTCTGGCTGTTTACCAGGTACCAGGCATTCTAGTTCACCATGTTTTCCAATACTGCACACAGACTCACTGACTTTGGGTTTCTCTGCTGCCTGGCACTGTTTCCGAAGCTGCTTCACGTTGGATGACTTCTCCCATCTTAATTGAGCTCCCTGAGTACACCTTAAGTTTTGCTTATTGTCAGGCAGTCCAATTTTTTTTTTTTTGAGAGGTTTTCGCTATAGGGCGCGTGCGCTCGCCAGACAGACAGAGAGAGACATAGAGACAGAAAGCAAGAAATCACACCCCAGGGGGGATGGTCATGCCTCAATCCCTTCTCCTCCATTCTCCTCTCGGGATCTTGGGCACGCACGCACACGCGCCCAGCGTGAGTTTTAAGCCACCGGGTCTGGGACGCGAACCGCGGTCGACTACGTGGGAATCCAGCGACATAGCCATTACGCTAACTGCTGGTTCCCAAGCAGTCCAATCATTTAAATGGCTGTCTTAGTTCTGAAAATTCTAATTTGTCTTCATTTCCATCTATGCTAATATCCCGGATGTGTCAGTATGCCCAGTCTGTCCCAAGTACCTGGTGGATCTTAGGCTCCCGCGTATCTTTCTGCTGTCCTTGAGTTTATTGCCCGTCTCCTCTACATTCCCCTGCTTACACTCAGCCTAACACATCCTGAGACTTTTCTACTTATACTTACCCTCTCCTTTTCAGAAAAGCTACGTGCTCTAATAAATGACTCCCATCACTCCAGAGAATAAGTCTTTCAGACTTAGGGTAAGCAAGAAATGAGCTACTTTAAAACTCTTTTTGAAATGCAGTCATCTTGCCCTTTTATTGGGGGGTGGGGGAAGGTTTTTTGCTATAGGGCAGGTGTGCTCACCAGAAAGAGAGAGAGAGACAGAGTCCTCTTAGGTTCTTGGCACATATGCACACGCACCCGGCATGAGTTTAAGCCACCAAGTCTAGGACTCATACTGCTGTTAACTATGTGGGAGTCCAGCGACATAGCCATTGAGTCAACTGCTGGTCCCTTGCCCATTATTTTTATGAGTCAGACTAATAAAGACAAAGTAAGGGAAATTTAAACAAAGATACACACATTCTTTTGTTTTTGTTTGTTTTTGCTATAGGGTGCATGTGCTCGCTAGAAAGAGAGAGAGAGAGAGACAGAGAGAGAAAGAGAGAGAAGGAAAGTGAGAAATCACCCTCCAGGGGGATGACCATGCCACAATCACCTCTCCTCCATTATCCTCTTGAAATTGCGGGCACTCACACATGTGGGTTCAGCATGATTTCAAGTCGCTGGGTCCAGGACTCAAACCCTGCAGACAGCTCTGTGGGTTCAGTGTCTTAGCATCTACCCACCTGCTGACCCCACACGTGTTGTTTTACAAACATACTGTTCAGGCCCTGTTGTGGTGGCACAAGTGGAAGGATGCTGCTGCATGAGGCTGGGGCCCTGTGGGAGAGCAGGGTGCCATGCTCAGACCGGTCTGAAGGGGCTTCGAACTGCAGCATGTCTCTGTGATCTGAGGTAGCTGCAAGGCTGGGACAGAGGGCTGCCATGGCGAGAGCACATCTAAATACTTCCCTTTTTCTCTCTCTTTGTCCTCCTCATGTGTGCACTCTCTCTCTCACATACACATATGCAAAATAAACCACACAAACCCCTAAAAACCCATATTGCTCAATAATAGAACCTTCATTTTATTTTGTTTACTTTCAGTAAACAAATAAGAGGCCTCTTGACATTGTCAAGTTTCCTTCAAAAGTGAAAGCTCATATTCTGACGTATATGCACGCACACACATAGACCACACACGTATACACCTCCAGACTGGACTAGTGCTGAAGGGCGTTCATATTGATTCAGTAATTCATCCAAAAATTCTAGTAGCCAGGTATAATGCACAGAGTATTAGGTTAGTTCTGATAAAAGATAAAAATAGAATTGTGGCCAGTTCTTGCTTACAGTTGTCATTTCTTTCTTTCTTTTTCTTTTCTTCTTTTTTTTCTTTTTTGAGAGGTTTTTTTTTTTTTGTTTTTGTTTTTTCCACTATAGGGCACGTACGCTCGCCAGACAGACAGAGAGAGACATAGAGACAGAAAGCGAGAAATCACCCCCCAGGAAGGATGATCACGCCGCAATCCCTTCTCCTCCATTCTCCTCTCGGGATCTTGGGCACGTACGCACACGTGCCCCGCATGAGTTTTAAGCCACCGGGTCCGGGACGCGAACCGCGGTCAACTACGTGGGAGTCCAGCAACATAGCCATTACGCTAACTGCTGGTTCCCGAGAGGTTTTTGATATAGGGCGCATGAGCTCACCAGAAAGACAGAGAGAGAGAGAGAGACAGAAAGCGAGAAATCAACCCACACCCCCTCCAGGGAAGATGGCCGTGCCACAGTACTTTCTCCTCCATTCTCCTCTTGGGATCTTGGACACATTTGCACACATGCCCGGCGTGAGTTTAAGCCACTGGGTCCAGGACTTGAACCATGGTTGACTACATGGGAGTCCAGTGACATAGCAATTATGCCAACTGCTGGTCCCTGAAGTTGTCATATCTAACCAAGACTTAACCTTGATTTTGTCAAGGAATCCTCCCTATGGAACCTCTTCTTAGAGACCCAGACATGGTTTCATCCATTGCCTGTAACAGTATCTGTGTCTTCCCTCTTGGCCGATGTCTAGGACATCATTGCTCAGAAGGTTCTGGGGCATTTTGACCGCCTCATTTATGTTTTTTGCTGATAGCATTCTGTCTGTATTGTGTTCCTGTGGTTTCCAAGGTATGTCTCTGATATATTTCTTTTTCTTCTGGCTTTTTGTGGCTACATGAATTATATGAATATCTGTAATCTTATTTTCAATTACATAATTTCTGAATTATCTTTTAACTCTAAGAAGTTAAGCATCCACTCTTCTCCCTTCATTAAGTTCTGTTTTCTGTTACTTTAATTTGTATTACTGATTCCAGCCTTAAATTTCTCAAACTCAAAATTGTGAAAGACAGGAGAAGCAAGAATGTGGTATCTTATAAGGATATAATTTATTAGTAAATACTGTTATTTGTTATGTAGGGATTTTTGAAGAATGAACTCTGGTGTAAATTAAGTTCATTTAAAAATTCAGCCAGTTGGGACCAGCAGTTGACATAATAGCTATATTGTTGGACTCCCATGTAGTTGACTACAGTTCGAGTCCTGGACCCGGTGGCTTAAACTCACACCAGGCGTGTGTGCATGTATGCCCAAGATCCAAGAAGAGAGTGGAGAAGAAGGGATTACAGCATGGCCATCTCCCTGTGGGGTGACTTCTTGCTTTCTGTCTCTCTCCCTGGGAAGTGCACACGCCCTATAGCAAAAACCTCTCAAAAAAAAAAAAAAATCAGCCAATGAGGGTTTTAGAAAGTGTCAAAATTATTTCACTACCAGGCCAACTTATGTATAAGAAAGTGTTAAGGTTTGAGCAGTATGACATAGGCTGAAACTGAGAACAAGTTCCTAAAATGAAAGAGTCTCTTTAATCCAGGTGATCTTAATTTAAATACGACTCTTTTTTTTACCTGCACTTTAAGGAAATGGTTGAATTTAATGCTCTGCTTCTTAGGAAGCTGAAAAGAAACACCTGTGATTTCTATACCAGGTAGAAATAATCGCAAGATAAATCTGTACTATTATAAGAGCAATGATTTGGTTCTAATTCAATCTGTTGACAGTTTAATAAAATGTATATTTCATGTGCCAACAAACTGTAGCAATGACTTGTTTTATGGTTTTCATATCTTCCAGCGCCTCCGGTCTTCATACAGGAGCCCACCGATGTGTCCATGGAAATCGGCTCCAACGTGACATTACCTTGTTATGTGCAGGGCTATCCAGAGCCAAAGATCAAATGGCGGAGATTAGACAGCATGCCGATCTTCTCAAGGCCCTTTTCTGTTAGTTCCATCAGTCAACTAAGAACGGGAGCTCTCTTTATTTTAAGTAGGTTAAAAGAAATGTACTTTATACAAATGCATGCATGTATCTTATCCACAGGTTAAGCTCTGCTTCTTTTGGCTGGGATATTTACAAGCTTCCCAAGGTCCCTAGTCTCCTCCTGCCTCCCCTATTGCTCACAGACAGAACTGCGCTCTTGTAAAGCACTGGCTTCTGTTTCTGTAACAGGTCTTCAGACAGTCCGTGGGAAACTCCCTGGGGTGTGACATGAAACACCGTATGACTTTCCAAAGTTCTTTGCACCAAAACAAATGCATACTTTAATTATCAGCACGATAAACTTTCATTCTGTTTTTCATGAACTTTTTGAAGTCCTTTTGTACTCACAAAACCGCTAACTCAGTAGTTCCCACGCTGATTGACCGAGTACCTTCTTTAATTACAAATACTTTGTAATACTCTTTTATTCTTATCATTATTATTTGTTATCGAGTACTTGTTGGAGAGAGACAAAGGGGGAGAGAGAAAGTGAGAAAGCACCCCCTGGAGGGGAGGCCATGCCACAATCCCTTCTCTTCTCAGGATTTTGAGCATGTACAAACATGATCCCAGCATGTTTTTCAAGCTGCTGGGTCCAGGACCCAAACCTCACTGTGAGCCATGTGGAATACAACTTTCCTAACAAACATGCCCCTGGCCCTGTAATATCCTTTTATTATTGTGAACATAACTCAGTACATTTGATCTGTCTACATACTAAATATTATTTATTGTTTTTAATTGCCCGAGGGTGTGTTCACTTGTTGGAGAAAGAAACCAGAATAGAACAAGTAGAAAGCCCTCCTCCATGGGGCATAGTCATACTGCAATCCCTTCTTCATTTTTCCACCTTGCTGGGATTTGGGGCACACCCATGTGTCTCATATGTTTTTCAAGCCACCAGGACCAGAGCCAGACCACAGTTAGCCATGTTGGATCCAGCTATCTTAAACACAAGGCTAGGGCTCAACCCTCCAAAAAATATTTTGATATCCAAAATACAGTGCAAAGGAAAACAAAGGAAAGTAATTTATATCATGGTGTATTTCACTATGTAAATTCTCTGGTGATGACTACACGATATGCATAACTTTTATGTGGCTTTGCCATGAATTCAGGATCATAGGATTGATGACTCAGAAACTCCAAGCTGGTGAAGTAATTTTCCAAAATGTTGGAAAATTATTGTTAAAATTCTTCCTTCTACTTACACAGCATTAGGCTGTAGGGTCTTATAATTATAAAATTATTAAATCCACAAATTTCCAGTGGGACTTTCAAAAATCTTTCTGTACTGGGGATAATTGTTCCTTTGGTGATTCTCCCCATTCTTTGCCTATCTACTTTTTGCCTATTCAATGCCAGTAGGTTCCACCAATCATTGGGCCTGTTGAAAAAAACCTCTTCTGGAAGCTTCCAAAATGCCATGGTGATGTTGCAGTGTTCGTTTTTGGTGTGGCTTTTTGTTAGCTTTTGTTTTGTTTTGTTTTGCTCTAGGGTGCATAAGCTCACCGGAGAGAGAGAGAGAGAAAGTAAGAAATTACCCCTCCAAGGGGGATGGCCATACTGTAATCCCCAGGGGGGATGACCACGCTGCATTCCCTTCTCCTCCATTCTCCTCTCGGGATCTTGGGCACGCACGCACATGCGCCTGGCCTGAGTTTGAGCCGCCAGGTCTGGGACTTGAACCGCGGTCGACTACGCAGGCGTCCAGTGACATAGCCATTATGCTAACTGCTGGTCCCCAAGTAAAGTGATTTTCAAGTCACTGAGTTCAGGACTCGGAAGTGCAAAATTGACCATGTGGGGTCCAGAACCTTAAACATCATGCCACCTGCTGGCTCCTGGCCGCTTCTTATTGTTTGAATGGACCATGATTTTTCAAGTCATGCATTTGCTTTTGTAGCCCCTTAGGTTTGAACTGCCCTTCTGCATTCTGCCCACCCTCTGAAGGGCAGATCAGAAACTGCCTTTGCTGTGATGCCTTCTCCAACTGCCCTCCATGTACTCCGTCACTCCTGTCTCTGTGCTTCTACAGCTCATGGTCTGAAACTTATACTCTAGTATTTATCACACACTGATGTGAGTGCTGGTTTCTAGACCTGTTCTCCTCCCCTAGAATGGGAAGGGTCAGAATTATTCTGTCACAGAGCCCAGAACTGTGCCCGACACCCAGTAAATGCTCTATGGATAATAATGAATGAATACATGAGTTGTTCTTTTTCAGACTTATGGGCAAGTGACAAAGGAACCTATATTTGTGAAGCTGAAAACCAGTTTGGAAAGATCCAGTCACAGGCCACAATAACAGTGACAGGACTTGGTAAGATCAGTTAAAGTGTCTGGATACCACAGTCTTTGAAGTTGTCAAAATTCTTTTACTATATTATCTTTTGCCTGTGTGACATTTTGTTTTTTAAGGTTTATACTGTTATGTATTTCACTCTATAGATACTCATAATGACTATGCAATATGCACATCAGAGAGACAGAAACAGTAAAAAGGAAAGTGAAAAATCATCCCCTGGGGATTGGCCATGCCACAATCCCTTTACCTCCATTCTCATTCTGGAGTTTTGGGCATGCATGCACACGCTCCAGGCATGGTTTTCAAGCTGCCAGGTCTGGGACTTGAATCACAGTCAGCAGTTTAGGAATCCAGCACCTTAACCACTATGCTACCTGCTCGCCCCACATTTTTTGTTTTTTTAAACCAGGTAAATAACTGACTAGAAGACTAGCCTTCCGTCTCCCTCCCTATTTCATACTTCATAGAACTGGTTAAAACTGGAAATAACCTTAGCAATCATGGACTCCAGGCTCCTCATTTTCCATTTGAAGAAATAAAGACCAATTTAAATGAATTGATTTATGTCCAAATTTAAATACATATGGACATGCTCAACATTGAGTAGTAGAGTCATTTTCTGTTTGTTTGTTTTACATTTATCATTTTACTCCACCTGGAATTTGTGTGTGTGTGATGTGAACTAAAAATATAATATTTACTTCCAAGTGGTGAGATATTTGTTTCAGTATCTTCTATAGAGTATTCTGTTTCTATTGATTAAAATACCCATTTGGTCATATATTAATTTTATATTCCTAAAGCTATTCCTTAGAGACCTATTATCATTATTTTTAAATTTAGGGTTTTCTTTTTTTTTTGCCATAGGACATATGTGCTCACCAGAGAGGAATAGAGAGAGAGAGTGAGAGGGAAAGTGAGAACTCCCCCACCCCCAAGGGAAATGGCCATGCCACAGTTCCTTGTCCTCCATTCTCCTCCTGGGATTTTGGGCACATACACACAAGTTCGCAGTGTGATTTTCAAGACACCAGGTTCAGAACATGAGCCATGATCAGCCATGCAGGGCTCCAGTGCCTTAACCCCCACGCCACCTGTTGTCCCCACAACAGTCTCGTTATTCATTCCCACCCTTGCCAGTCTACTTGTGGTTTTTAGATTAATATTCCCAAGAAAATGTTTTCAACATTTCCACATTTTCATTTATAAGTGCTTTCAGCCACTCTCTATTTGTCTACCGAATACGTTGCAAATATCTTGGCTTGCCATTTCTGCCCTCCATGCCATAGGCATTCTTTTTACCGTCTTTACTTCCGCTAGGACCTATCATTTTGCCTTTCTGATGAGAAGGCTCTTTTATTGCTATGTTCCAACCCATACTCATGATCATTTACACGTTTTGTTCCTGGCACCCGAATTTTTTTCAACTTAACTAGTAGTCTCGGCCTGTGGAATAGTTTGCCTTTTGGGTGACACAGAGCTAAAAGTGCCTGTCTTTCTGACATAGCCGCTCCACTGATTGGAATCAGCCCCTCAGTGGCCAACGTTGTCGAAGGGCAGCAGCTTACTTTGCCTTGCACGCTGTTGGCTGGAAACCCCATCCCAGAGCGTCGGTGGATTAAGAATGCAGCCATGGTGAGGATGTCTCCAATGCATGTACTCTGTTCCTAATGTTCTCGAGAAAGAAATCATGTCTTCCAAAAACTAGTGTCAATGTAATAAATACCTAAAAAGATCTTTCGCGCGTGTATCGAAGTTTCTCTTCATTATCAGCATGTTCATGTTTTCTTATTATTTTGAGATTAATAAAGGAGAGGAATAGTCAATGGTATAATTTTCATAATTGCACATTAAATTCTATGTTAATAATAAACTCCCCTTAGACTGTGTAAAATCTGAGACAGGTATTGTTATTTTTATAACATTGAAATATTTTTTATTTTGTTTTATTTATTTATTTTTTAGATTTTTGCCATAGGGCATGTGTGCTTGCCAGAGAGAGACAGAAAGAGACAGTGAGAGGAAAAGAGAGAAGTCACTCCCAAAGGGGTTGGCCACACTGCAATCCCTTTTCCTCCATTCTCCTCCTGGGACTTTGGGCATGCATGCATCCCTATGCACCTGGTGTGATAAATATTTTAACTTTATTGAAAAAAAATTTTATGCTGTTCCTTGCAGGACATTATAAAATATTTAATATTTCCATTAAATTCTTCCATTAATTAATTAATTAATCTTTCTTATTCTTAACTTAAAATATTACATCTTTATCATGAGGGAACGTCAAAAAATTTGTGAAAGAATTCAAGTAGGACTTTATTTTGGTGCAAAAAGTTTGGCAGTATATGCATTTTTTTTATAATACACATTTCCATACATCTGTGGGCACCTCCTCGTGTATTTATATATGTCATTGCTTTTCAATGTATAACTTACTATGAAAGAATGTGAAAAACATTGTTTTAGAGGCTTTTGTCTTAGGGTACCTGTACTCACCAAAGAGAGAGAGAGAGAGACAGTGAGAGAGAAAGTGAGAAAGCACCCCCGCCCCCCTCACGGAGGATGGCCATACTGCAATCTCTTCTCCTCCATTCTCTTCCCTGGATCTTGGGCATGCACGCACATGTACCCTGCATGATTTTTAAGCCTCTGGTCCAGGACGTGAACTGCAGTGGCCATGTGCAAGCCCCGTGATGTAACCGCTATGCCACTGCTGGTCCTAAGAATGTGAAATATTTTAATAAAAATTGTTTTCTGTGGTATTTTTCTGTAAACATACTATATATGGCAACAAATTTTCATTGGTTTAGAGCATTTTTCCTTCCACTTTCCAGAGTGTTGAGAGTCACTCTTTTTTTGAAGTACTGATTAGAAGTGTATTGATTCCATGCACGATGTAACATTTTTCATATTTGTTTAAAAAACCTAAGAAAAATCAGTATCATTCAAAAAAAAATCTGTTTTGGAAGTGTATCAGGATTAAATACAATTGATACACTCTTTATTTGACATTTTTAAAGTGTATTATTTGCTCCATGAGTGAGAGAGAGATGACAACAGAGACAGAGAAATAGAGAGACAGTAGCCCTAACAGGGTCCTGCAGCATAATACACCTTCCCTGTCAGCCAGCCCAGGGTCACATACATGACGGGTGTAATCAGGGAAGCTTAAGGATGCTAACACGGAACCTTCCATGTGGGTCAGCCTCACAGAGGATCACATTTGCTACTGCACCAACAGACTGCCCTCACAGTTCTGGTTTCTGTACTTTTAAAATTTTTCCAGAGGGTACATGTGCTCACTGGAGAGAACAAAGGAGAGAGGGAAAGTAAGAAAGCACCTCCCAAGCAGAATGGTCATGCCACAGTCCCTTCTCCATCTCTTCCTCTTTTGGGATTTTGGGCATGCGTGCACATGTACCCAGTATGTTTTTCAAGCTGCCAGGTCGAGGACTTGAACTATAGTCAGTCATGTAGGATTCAGCTCATGCAACCACCAGGCCACAGGATGGCTTGACTTCACAATTTTTGTACTCATCATTTTTTAATAAAAGGTTATTAAATTCTGTTTTTATTTTATAACCCATTTAGAAATTAAAGAAAAAATAAACATTGCTTTGACTCAGACAAATCTTTGCCTTTTTAAATTAAAATGACGTGTTTTTTTTCCTTTAAGTTGGTTCAAAATCCTTACCTCACTGTGCGCAGTGACGGGAGCCTCCATATTGAGCGAGTTCGGCTGCAAGACGGAGGCCAGTACACTTGTGTGGCCAGCAATGTTGCTGGGACCAGTAACAAAACCACCTCTGTGGTCGTGCACGGTAAGAGACGCCCGATATAATTGCTTCCAAGCCGTGTTCAAAGCTCAGTTTATATATTGTCATCAAATGAGTTTGCTCCTCTAATTACAAGAAGTAGACCTCTCTCCTAATTGTTACTTTTTTTTATTTCTTGAACAATAGCTCCATTGTTATGCTGTTTCCAGATATTTCTTCCCTATCTACACAAAGAGGACATTCTTGGAAGTCACCAGCTGAGTCTGGTCAAGGGCTTTCTTAATTAACAGAAGTGAACCCAGCTCTCAAAAAATTATGTTTAAAAATGCATTTTAATGTCAGGCAAGCTGAACTTCTTATATCATCCTAATTGCCTTTTCATTGTGGATTGGGCAAGAAGCATGTCCTTACGAATGACCCCTTTGTGTCTGAGCTAGAAATGACCCACGCTCTTCTAAAGGTCACCTCCTGGGCTTTAAATGATCTTCCTACATGTTAAATAACTAAAGGTTACAAATAAAAAAATCCAGAAGCAATCTTTTTCTGTAAATGATAGCTTCACCTAGTTTAAGAAATTGTAACTTTTTGTTTACTTCTTTTAAAGTCTGTATAATACTTTTAAAAATATAATATTAAAATTGCTTTGGTAAAGAACTGACTACCTTAGGAAGAAAGTAGCACGGGTTATTTATTTTTAGTAGTTGATTCAATATTTAGAACTAATTGGAGAGAATCCAGCAGCTTTCAAATTGTGTTTGGTGTGTTGAAAATGTCGGTGAAAGTATATCACCTTTTTTTTTTTTTTTTAAATGCCTCCTTCTCATTTTAAAGTCTCTCTTACATCTCTCAGTTTTAATCTGGTATCCACCAACATCACTGGAAATACTCTAGAAGAAATACCAAGGGAACACAGAATTGGTCACAGACTAAAGGAATAAATGTGTAATGTCAGATTGGATATAGCTGTGGAACTCTCTTACATTTTTTGTTTTTGAGAGATTTTTGCATTAGGGTGCGTGAGCTCGCCAGAGAGACAGAGAGAGATGGAGAGACAAAAAAGGCACACGAGTACATGCACCCAGCATGAGTTTTAAGCCACCATGTTTGGGATTTGAACCACAGTCAGCCGTGTGGGAGTTCAACACCTTATCCACTACGCCACCTGCTGGCTCTATGGCTGTGGAACTTTCTAAGAGAAGATCAGACCATCGATTTCCTGGAGGGTGCTGATGGACTAGAATCTAGCGTAGGAATATCCTCATGTCATTTCTCTTTGGCTTCTAAGAATGCCTGGTCAATTTGTTGATAAGGATTCTGAGACAGTTTTCACTTGAGTAAAAGAGTGACTGGTTTAGTTGTAACCTCTGCTACGTAAGAGAAGACAGACAAACCATGAAGCAAATAAATAAATAAATAAATAAATAACTAGAAGTGAAGAGTCATTTCACAACAGTCATTGGTCCATTTTAGTACAGTATCAGCTTCTGTCAACAAGATTTTTAAAAAGCCAGCCATTTAGCACCAGCTAAAGCTAGTGACCAGAAGATGTGATTCTCCTCAGAGCCTCTCTATTCCCCTGTATTTACGCTAATTAGCCATGCTGTTTGTCAGTCTGCCCCTTCCTTAGGAATGCTTCTGGAAGGATCTCAGCCAATTCCTAGAAGAATGAATGGATAAGTGAATGCATATAAATACAAATTAAAATGGCATTGATTTGTGTGTAGACCTACAATCTAGAAAGAAACTACTCTTCCTTCCTCAAATGGAACTGTTTTAAAAACAGTTGTCTAAATTTGACAAGTTCTATCGCCGTCAAATTCAATGTGCATTTAAGAAAATGGTTTATTTCATGTTACCACAAATCGATAGCATATTTGAGAGCTGAATATTTCATGATGATCCTGAAATTAAATTTCTTGTGCTAGAGAGTAGCCTGGCATTTTTGTTTAGTGCTGAGGATTTTCTGCCAGTTTTTTAAGAAATGATCTAAAGAATAAGCCCAGCCAGAGGAAAATATGAGTGTGCAGCATATCTAATTTAAGCTTTGTAAGGAATTACTTTCATTGAGAGGTCTGGTATCTCTTGTTCTATCAAGCCTCTACTCTATGTCAATTCTGGAAAATTCAGATTTTAAACAAGAGACATGATTACTTGTGATATACACAGAATGGAGTGATTAGCATTCTTCCTTTTCCTTTTGCTTCTACTTGCATAAAGTTAATCCTCTCTTTCTAAAGTTAAAGTTATGCTATTTTTTCTTAATAAGAAATAGTGACTTAGAAACTCACATTTTAGATGCTTGAAAGTAAACTCCCAAGGCCTTCCAAGTTTTACGGTTGAATTTCCTTTAAGGAAACAAATTTTTTTTTAAAGAATTGTATATTTAATTTTATTTATTATCATTATTTTAAAATTTTCTATAGGGCACATGCATTCATCAGAGAGAGATAGAAAGTGAGAAAGCAAGCTGCCAGGTCTGGGACTTGAACTATGTTGGCTATGTTGAACTAGTTGGCTATGTGGAAGTTCAGCTCCTTAACCTTAAAGTCCATGCTATCTGGCCCTGAAACCTTTTTTATTTTTTTAAAGGTTATGTTTAATAGCTCACTAAGTGATTCTTGTTATAGACACATGTTTACTTTGTCAAACAGCCCATTTCTCTGGAGGTGGGCTTATATCAGTTCAATGTAGCTTCATGAGTAAAGGACAGTAATCAAAGATGTGTGTTATAAATGTGTAACCCTTGTAGGGTTGGGCATACTTCTCTTGGGTTTCCTGAAAAATAAAAAATAAAAAAAAAATTGAGAGATTTTTACTATAGGCTGTGTGTTCTCGAGAGGGAGAAAGGGAGAGAGAGAGAGAGAGAGAGAGAGAGAGAGAGAGAGAGGAAGCAAGAAATCACCCACCAGGGGGATGGCCACACTGCAGTCCTGTCTTCTCCATTCTCCTCTCGGGATTTTGGGCCTGCACGCACACATGCCTGGCCTGAATTTTAAGCTTCTTGGTCCAGGTTTAAACTGTGGTCCACTGTGGGAGTCCAGTGATGTAATCGTTATACCATCTGCTGGTTCCCCCAAAAGGAATTTTCTTTAGTTCTCTCTTATTTTTCTTAGAAAGTCAGTGCCTCAGTGCTGTAGACATTACTTACTACTTGGTTTTCAGTTTGATCGACTCCTCCAGACGACAGCGGTTGTATTTTCTTTGGTTAGCACACTCCCTTGCAGAGAGTACCCTATATTTCTATCAGAAAATGTTAAATCATTGCTTGTTTTTACGAATATAAAGTATATATTGGAAATGTTCAACTTTAAATACGGGATGCTCAGTGGAAGAACAGGTACTCAGATTCCGAATCCTGCTTTTCCTTTTCAGTTCTGCCAACCATTCAGCACGGGCAGCAGATACTCAGCACAATCGAAGGCATCCCGGTAACCTTGCCATGCAAAGCAAGTGGAATTCCCAAACCCTCTATCGTCTGGTCCAAGGTAAATGGAACATCGACTCACGTTCCTGAAGAGCAGAGGGTAAAATTTACCTGGGAAGCCTTCGGAAACTCCAGCAGGAGAATGGGGAGTGAGGCACAGGAGGCAGGGAAGCTGAAAACGGTCCACTTAATCGGTTTCCTAGTTGGTTTCCTTGGTGGCTGGACTGATAAGCTCCAGCTTGCTAAGGACCCTCCCTGTAGGCAGACTTCAGAAGGACTCTCGTGGACAAGAAGTGAGACATTTATCTGAAACATTGGGATCCCCAGAGGAACTAACAGCTCTGTACTTCCTGGCTGCCGGTGCTTATGCCAAGTGACCCTTCTGGGGCTTTGGCTAATGCTCTGATCCCAGAAAGCCGACTTAGGTGAAGTCTGATCCTGGCAAAGTCTCTGGAGCTGTCCACTGAAATCCAGAGGGCTGAGGGCATGTGGCCCGGTAGAAAAGGATTCGCTACAACATGGGAAGGGCTGGCGAACCTGCAGTGCTGTGCTGGACCCTGTGTGGATGGATCCTGATCCCACCAGGCTCACCATGGTTCAGCATGCTGAGCATATGTGTACCGGTGACCAAGATCTTGATGGGATAGAATGGAACTGAGAAAAGGAATCATGGCATGACCAGGCGCCACTGGGGACTCTCTCTCTCTCTCTGCATGGGCACATGGGCCCTCTAAGTAAAAGTTAGATAAAATTAAAAAATGTAAAGTGCTTAGAAAAGTTCCTGGCACACAGGCTGTGCTCTAAAAGTGCTCGTGTGTGTTGCTAACAGTGCTACTCAAGTATCAGGTAAATATCAGGCAGGTGATTGCACTAAAAACTCTTCAGCTTCCCTCCAGGTGGTCTCACTGTATGATTTTCCTTCTTATGAAAGATACTGTGGTTCGGTCACAAATTCCATGTATGACTAAAAAGTGTAAGACAGGAACCAACAGATGGCTTAATGGTTATGTTGCTGAACTCCCATGTAGTAGACCGCATTTTGAGAGCTGGACCCAGAGGGTTAAAACTCATTCTGGGCGCATGTGTGTGCATGGCCAAGATCCCGAGAGGAGAATGGAGGAAAAACGTGGAAGGAAAAGGAAAAAAAAATTGTAAGACACACATGCAATCTCTTTTTACCCCCTCTGTGTCCCAGTCACGTAGCAGGCCTGCTTTGGTTGGTATTCTTGCAATGAGGAAGAAAATTTCCTGAGGAAGTCCTTCGTATCTTTGAACAGCTGTAAGGATGGGATCTTTTCTGCCAATTAATTTGAATCTGGCAGATACAAAGTGAAACCAAATGACGGCAAATAGTGCGCCATCTATAGTTAGTGCTATCACCCCGGTGTTTTGGTAGCCCATTTAATTTGGTCTATTTAAAAGTCTCTGAAATACAGAGAAGCCAGTGTTCACATTATATTCTGAGCACAAAAGGGCAATGGTAAAGCTGATCCCCAGACTGCATGGTATTTATCACCAGTTACAAGTTTAATGCAATTTAAGGAAAAGGAAAAAAGGAAAGCTTCCTAGACTGGACCCGGTGCTGCGGCCGATCAGAGGGGCTAAGAATTTGGGCTTCAGAGTCTGACTGCTGGAGGTTCCAATCCTAGCTCTACCACTCATTGGCTTGGGGATCCTGGGCAAGTTACTCTAACGCCTTCACCCTGTGCCTTAATACTCTGAGCTGTAACACGGGGCTTGTGGTAGTTCCCAGGCCTGAGTGTTGTGAGCATTGCAAACCTTTTTTCACATAAAGCGCCCGACCCAGGACCAGGCGCAGCTTAAGCTCGCAGTCCACCTTTGCGTTGACTGTTTGCTATCGTCATGGTGGTTTTCTCCCTTTTCACAGAGCTCTGGAGTAAAGAGACCTCATTTGGTATGGAGAAATACCACTTTTAGCATTTTTGTCTCATTTTTCTTAAAAACAGATTTCTTCAAATGAGCATTTGAAAAATCTAGTATCCCCCCACCCCGAGATGTTTTTCTTTCTTCCTTCCTCTCTTCCAGACGTGAAGTCACTCCTTTGTTATCTTAAAGCACCCTTTGCTCTGTGTCATGTTTTGCAGAAAGGAGAGCTGATTTCAACCAGCAGTGCGAAGTTTTCAGCAGGGGCCGATGGAAGCCTGTACGTGGTGTCACCGGGAGGGGAGGAGAGCGGCGAGTACATCTGCACGGCCAGCAATGCAGCCGGCTATGCCAAGAGGAAAGTGCAGCTGACCGTCTACGGTGAGAGCAGGGAAGGACGTTGCTTTAACACCGTCTGCACCAAACTTGAGGTTCCTTCCCACATGCTGTTACTCGACTGCTGTACCCTCCAGTACATATCTCCCCCAAGTTTATAGTTTTTACAAAAAATTATTTTTATTGCCAGTCAAAAGCACCTCTTCTTAGTTTTGACCTCTATTTTTTAATGATAGGGAGTGCTTGCACACTCACAGAGAGAGGAGAGAGAAGCATCCTTGACTGGGTCTTCGGTCTCTTGCCTTGGTCCCTTTCCCAGGCCTCTGCTCTGTAGGATTTGCGTGCCAGCGCACGGCCCCACGTGTTTTCTCTGAGGTGGGGATCTGAACTTACAGCTGCCATATGCCTTCCAGCCTTGCAGGGCACTCATACTTCTGCTGTGCCAGAACAACTGGGCCTAAATTCTGATTTTAAGGAAAGTACTTGTAGGAGCCAGCAAGTGGTGTGGTGGTTAAGGCTCTGGACTGCCACATGGGTAACTGCGGTTTGAGTCCTGGACCTGGTGACTTGCTTTTTCACTTTCTCTCTCTCTCTCTCTGGTCAAATTAAAAATAATAATAGTAGGTGCCAGCAGGCAGCATTGTGGTTGAAGTGCTGAATTCCCACATGGCCAACCACAGTTCAAGTCCCAGACCTGATGGCTTGCTTTCTCACTTTCCCTCTCTCCATGTCTCTTTGGTCAGATTAAAAAAATAATAATACATTAAAAATAAAAAATAATAATTATTAAAATAATTCTTTAAAAGACAAAAGTAATTGTATAGTCTTTTATAAAAATTATATGGTGTTTTCCCAAGAATCATACATATGACACCCAACTCTCTTCAGTAACACTAAATTATTAAAACTCTTAGCAAAGCCATGCCTCAGCCAATTCCTGGGCAGAGCCTGGCCTCCAAGGGTTACTTTAACAGGTGGCAGACTCTAAAAAGGCATCACTTTATTTCATTTTGCAGGTAAGTGCTCAGAAAGGAAACTTCTTCATTATTTCTAATTTAGATTTCACAATAACTATACACAATATGTAAATGTATATAGATTTATGTATATGTGTGTGCGTATAGTGAGGGGGCATATGCATACTCACCAGAAAGAGAGAGATGGAGAGACCCAACGGGGTGTGGTCACGCTACAGTTCTGTCTCCTTCATGTGTCCATTCTGTCAGGATTTGGGGCAGGTGCACACCCACAGACTCAGTGTTTTTTTCAAGTCACCAAGGGACTTGAACCACAGTTAGTCATGTGGGATCCAAATCTCTTAACCAATAGGCAACAGAGCAGCCCCACAATAACCATATTAATGGGAAGTTTTGAAGAGGTCCTAAAACTTTAGAATAAACAATATTTTTTCACAACTTATTTAAGAATGTTAGTAGTCTACATTTTAATGAAAATTGACCTGTGCTTTGTTTTCAATGTGCTATTTTTCTTCCAAAAATCATATTCAATTCAGTAAGGCCTAGAGTGTTTGGAGATCAACGAGGACTGTCCCAGGAGAAGCCTGTTGAGGTGTCCGTCCTTGCAGGAGAGGAGGCGACACTTCCGTGTGAAGTGAAGAGCTTACCCCCACCCGTAATTACCTGGGCCAAGGAAACCCAGCTCATCTCACCATTCTCTCCAAGGTAGGAAACCTGGGGGGGATTAGAATGCATGGAAACATAACCTCTGAAGGCAGATTTTCAAATGTCTCAATACCTAACTTTTACATTGTAGATAATTCTCCTGGACAGTTGAGTACACAGAAACTATGCCTTTAAGAGAATTTCAAGTGTTCATGGAAAAGAGAAACTGAAGAATGGACTTATTTCGGCATAGGGAATGTTGAAGTCCATATATTATCCTCTCATGACACTCATTTCTATGAATTTGTTGACACGCCCAACCACCCTCCCTCTGTACCTTCTAAATCATCCTTTAATGTTAGAAATGTGGAACCAGCAGTTAGTGTAATGGCTATGTCACTGGACTCCCATGTAGTTGACCGCAGTTCACATCCCAGACCCAGTGGCTTAAAACTCATGCTGGGCGTGTGTGCGTGCGTGCCCAAGATCCTGAGAGGAGAATGGAGGAGAAGGGATTGTGGTGTGGCCATCCCCCTTGGGGGGTGATTTCTCGCTTTCTGTCTCTCTGTCTCTCTGGCAAGCGCATGCGCCCTATAGCAAAAACCTCTCCAAAAAAAGAAAAAGAAATGCTAACACTCAGCTTTGCTGTAATTTCCCATTGGTGCATTTTACCAGGCAATTGTTAAAATGGAGCAGATTGGTGGATTCCTATGAGCCCAGTGTGTGCAGCCCACATGAAATTCCATTAACCACACAGGAGCAATAAAACCCAACAGGCACGCTAACGTGTAGGATTTGACTTCCATTACATGGTTTCATGTGTCTTCCTGAGTAAACCCTTATACAAATAAAGGCCCATTGAGACAGTATAGTTGATAGGTTCAGTGACAGAGAAAGCAGAATTCCAGAGCCTTTAGGTGCTCAAACTTTGATGTCATCCAGCTACGAGTTTCAATTGGTCTCCATCACTAAAAGTTTGCTCCAGATTTTGGCACATTTTTCATGGAGCTTCTCTGAACCTCAGATATCCTGTTATAAAATGGTGCGATACTTACTGAGAGGAGTAGCTAAGGTAATGCACGTTCACAACCTTTGTTTCTAGTTCTCTAGGGATGGTAGCAATTTTGATTCTAAGTCCATTTATCTCAGACCTTACAGGTGGAATAAGAATTCTAGTATACAGTTATCATCCTTTAGATACTCATGTGGTTTCCGTACCATTGATAAGAAAAATATAAACAACTAGGAATCACTTTTTATAATTTTGCTTTTATTTTATTTCAGAGAGATATTTTTGCTATAGGGTATGTACTCTTGCTAGAGACAGAGAGAGAGAGAAACAGAGAGAGAGAAAGTGAGAAATCACCCCACCCTCCCTCCACCTGGGGGCGATGGCCATGCAATCCCTTGTCCTCTACTCTTCTCTGGATTTTGGAAACATGCACATATACCTGGTGTGAGTTTCAAGGTTCCAAGTCCCAACTTGAACTGCAGTCAAACGTGTGGGAGTCCAGTACCTTAGCCACTGTACCACCTGCTGGCCGCAATTTTGCTATATTTTTTTAAAATATGTTCTTTGAGTAATTTTTAATAAAAGAAATACAATATTACTGGTAAGGTTGAAATTCCATTGTCCCTCTCCCCAACCTCAATTTCTTTTCTCCTTTTCTAGAGGCAGGCACTGCCACAAACTTGGTGTGCATCTCATACACACATCCGTAAACAGTATAGGATGCTGTTCTCTGTATTTATTTTAAGTTGCCAGAGGGTGAGTGCACTTGTTGGGGGAAAGCCAGACACACACACACACACACACACACACACACACACACACGAGAGAGAGAGAGAGAGAGAGAGAGCGCGCGAGCAAGCGCGAGTGCCAGAAAGTACCTCTCACGGGGAATGGTCGCACTGCATTCCCTTCTCCGCCCTTTCTCTCTCCTTTATGGATTTCTGGGCATGTCTGCACACACACCTGGTATGGAGTTCAAGTCACCGTATCCAGCACTTGTACAGTCGGCCATGTGCGATCTAGCTCACGTAACTACCAGGCCTGGACTGGCTCTGTTTTCTGTATTTTTAATTTTGCTTTGTGTATTTTCAATATGTCATTTTAACAAACATGTTATTTTTCAACTATTTCCTTTATTAAATCAGCCATGTCTGCACACACACCTGGTATGGAGTTCAAGTCACCGTATCCAGCACTTGTACAGTCGGCCATGTGCGATCTAGCTCACGTAACTACCAGGCCTGGACTGGCTCTGTTTTCTGTATTTTTAATTTTGCTTTGTGTATTTTCAATATGTCATTTTAACAAACATGTTATTTTTCAACTATTTCCTTTATTAAATCAGCACAGTCACTTTATATTTATTCATCCTTCTATTTAGGGACATTCATGTTTGAATCTGTTTTTCCTTTCTTTTTCTTTTTTCCTTATTCATTTATTTATTTATTTATTTAGTTGTTTTGTTTTATGATCCAGGGTTTTAAGGGAATATCTTCTTTATATGTTTTTTTGAATAAACACACATGAGTTTCTTTAAGACCTATATCTAGAACTACAATTTCTGGTCAGAGTAAATTTCTATTTTCAGCATTGTAGACAGCTCTGTAAGCAACTCTGTGCTGAGAAAGTCTATCAACGCCATTTTTCCAACAACATGTGTTACCTATGTGTCTCCATGTCACATATTGGTATTTCTCTCAATATTTCATAATTTATTATTATTATATGTTATGTTGATCCATTGATCTTTGAGGTAACTATTGTAATTGTCTTGGGCCATTACGTACTGCATCCATACAAAGCAGCAAACTTAATAAATGATGTGTTCTGGGACCAGCAGTTAGCGTAATGGCTATGTCGCTGAACTTCTATGTAGCCGACCATGGTTCGAGTCCTGGACCCGGTGGCTTAAACTCACGGTGGGTATGAATGCGTGCATGCCCAAGGTCCCAAGAGGAGACTGGAGGAGAAGGGACTGCGGTGTGGCCATCCCCCCGGGGGGTGATTTCTTGCTTTTTATCTCTCTTTCTCATGAGCACACGCGCCCTATAGCAAAAACCTCTCCAAATAAATAAATAAATAAATAAATAAAGTGTTCTGATGTTCCACCTACCAGTTGTTCCCTTTCTCTCTCTCCCTCCCTGGGCATCCGTTCTCCTTGAGACAAAGCAATATTGAAATTAGACCTGTTAGTAATCCTACAATGGTTTCTAAGTACTCAAGTGAAAAGAAGAGTTGCATGCCTTTTGCTTTACATCAAGAACTAGAAATGATTGAGCTGAGAGAAGAAGACATATCAATAGTCGTGATGGGCCGAAAGCTAGGTCTCTGCGCCAGTTGGTCAAACCGTGAATATAAAAGGAAAGGTCTTAAAGAAAATTAAACATGCTACTCCTATGAGCACATCAATAATAAGAAAGTGAAAGAGCCTTATTGTCAGTATGGGGAAAGTTTTAGTGGCCTGGATAGATTAAATGAGCCACAATTTTCTCTAAAGCCAAAAACAAATCCAGAGCAAGCGCTAACTCTCTTCATTTCTGTGCAGACTGAGAGAGGTAAGGAAGCTGCAGAAAGTTGGAGTTAGCATAGTGTGGTTCATAAAGTTTAAGGAAAGAAGCCATCTCCATAATATAAAAGTGCACCATGAAGCAGCAAGTGCTAACAAAGAAGGTACACCAAGTTACCTGGAAGATCAGTGAAGATAATTGATGATAGCTACACTTAACAACAGCTTTTCTTTTTCTTTTTAAAACTGATTTTTAAAAGAAATATTTATTTAATTTTATGTATTATTATTATTTAATTTGCTATAGGACACACACACTCACCATAGAAATAAAGAGAATAAAAATGAGGTAACAAACTACCGGGTCCAGGACTCAAACCATAGTTGGCTATGTGGGAGTCAAGCACCTTAGTCACCACTTGCTGGCCCAAACAATAGATTTTCAATGCAGATGAAACAGCCTTCCCTGGACTGTCATAGCTAGAGAGGAGACATCAATGTCTGGCTTCAAAGTTTCACAGGGCAGACCGATTCTCTCATAAGGGCTAATGTAGCTGGTAACTTGAAATGAAGCCAGTGTTCATTTACTGTACTGAAAATCCTAATGCCCCTGGATGTATGCTAAATATATTTGTACTTTGCCTGTGCTTTGTACATTGGACAGGAAAAACTTGATGACAGCACATCTATTTACAACATGGTTTTACTAAAAATATATTTTTTAAGCTTACTGTCGAGAACTACTGATGAGGAAAAAGATTCCTATCAAAATATGACTTATTATTGGCAATGCACCTGGTCCCTCAAGAGCTCTGATGGAGGTGTGCAAGGAGCGTAGTATGTTCATGCTGGCTAATACAAAATCCCTTTAACAGCCCATGGAGCAGGGGTTATTTGGATTTTAAGTTATATGATTTAAGAAATGCATTTAATAAGAATAGAGCTGCCATAGATAGGGTTCCTTTTTTTATTTTTTTATTTTTAGAGTGATTTTTGCTGTAGGGAGCGTGCATTTACCAGAGAGACAGAGAGAGATAGAGAGACAGAAAATGAAAAATCATCCCCTGGGGGGATGGCCACTCCACAAGCCCTTCTCCTCCATTCTCTTCTCAGGATCTAGGACACACATGTGTCCAGCATGAGTTTTAAGCCACCAAGTTCATGACTCGAACCCCAGTTGAGTACATGGGAGTTCAGTGATATAATTATTACACCATCTGCTGATCCCAATAGTGGTTCCTCATATGATTCTGGGTAAAGTAAATTGACAACTTTCTGGAAAGGATTCACCATTCTAGATTTTATTAAGAACCTTTGTGATTCATGAAACAAAGCAAAAAATTGACAATAATAGCACTTTAGAGGAAGTTGATTCCAGTCCTTATATATATATATATATAGAGAGAGAGAGAGAGAGAGAGAGAGAGACTTAGTTTATTAATTTTATTTATTGTGTATACCTTCTCCTTTATATTTATTCATCCTTCTATTTAGGGACATTCATGTTTGAATCTGTTTTTCCTTTCTTTTTCTTTTTTCCTT